AAACCATGGCAACACCGTTCATCGAAATCAAAAATCGATGCACTAAATTATGTATCTTAGTGTAGTCTACTTATGTGCCAAGTTATATTGAAATCAGACTTAAACTGTAGGAGGAGTAGCGTTTTAAAGGAATTTCACAGAAATTTCTATTTTTAGTAACCATGGCAACACTGTGCATCGAAATCAAAAACCGATGCACCAAATTATGTATCTTAGTGTAGTCTACTTGACTGTGTACCAAGTTATATTGAAATCAAACTAAACCTGTAGGAGGATAGATCATGGTGGAAAAAATGATTTGATGAAGCACGCATCGAAAGTAGACCATCAAAACAGTAGAAAATCTCAAAACAACACTCGGCTTATACAAAATTTCATGACTTCAGCTGACGAAGGTAAAACTTTAGGTCTTTCTTAATTTAAAATTACAAATTATACTATAAAATAGTAAAAAAAAAAAAAAAAAAGATTTGAAGTTAAAATATATATATGTTATATATCACTGTGAAGCAAAATTTTTAAAATATCTTTAGAAAAAAATTATTCACTGCTACTAAAGTATATAATTAGTACTAGTATAGTAATAGTATGTGAAATAAATAAAAATATATTTTGTGCACAATTATGTTCACAAATAAATCTACTGTAAAATTTATGCATTTTAATATTTTAATTTTCAGATGTCATGCGTGCAGAAGTTTTATTTTCCAACTTTGTGGCAGAGCACATCCCTTTCCTGGTTGCAAATTGCTTTACTAAACTCTGCAAGGCCATGTTTACAGACAGCAAAATTGCCTCCAAGTTTGCATGCGGAAGGACCAAGACAACACAGATTGTCAAACATTCCCTTGCCCCATCCCTGCATCAAGAAGTTGTCAAACAGTTGCAATCCAACCCCTTCTCATTAGCCATAGATTAGAGTAATGACAAAAACTGTGACAAGTCCTTGGCCATCCTTGAGAGATACTTCACCGACAGGTCCAAATGCCATGCCTGTCTGCAACATTGGCACTGCAGCAAACATCTTTGACCAACTGCAGCAGGTGTTTATTGACAACATCCAGTGGTCCAACCTGATCTCCTTTATTTCAGACAATTGCTGTGTTATGACTGGCAAGAACAACTCAGTGGTCACCAGAATCAAAGAGAAGGCCCCAGCTGTGTTCGACTTTGGATGTGTGTGCCACCTAGCTAACCTATGTGCAGCTGCTGGTGTGAAGGCCCTTGCCCTCCTTATTGAGGACTTGCTGGTGGAAGTCTTCTTCCATTTTTACCACAGTTCAAACACAAAGGAGCGATACAAGGAGTTCCTAGATTTTACTGACACAGAGCCCATGAAAATCTTAAAGCACTGCAGCACTAGATGGCTGAGCTTGGAGAAGTGTGTTGACCGTCTGCTGCACCACTGGCCGGCCCTTTAAAGTTATTTCAACTCTCATGAAAATGTTGAAAAGCCAGGACGAGTGAAGCGTTGTGCCTCATATCTCAGCAACCATGAAATGCACCTACACTTTAACTTCCTCAGCTTCATCCTTCAGCCCCTGAACAATTTTAACACCATGTTTCGGGCAGATGAGTCCAGGATTGGCTCCCTGAAGGATGAACTTAACATTCAATTGAGGACGTTCATGGGTAAATTCATTAATGCCAAAGTCATTCAATCTGCTGAGGACTTAACAGCTGTTCCTTTCCAAGACTTTGACTGTAAACTTCAAGACAACATTATTGCCATTGGGGTGACAACCAGAGCTTACCTTGTAGACCATGCTGATGAAATCCAGACATCAACTTTTTCCAGATTTTTTATGTCTGTTAGGAAGTTCTATAAGGCAGTGACTTCAAAGATGCTGGCAAATTTCCCCTTTAAGGGCCCTGTGGTTTCTAGCCTGAAGTTGCTTAATCCTTCAATCAGAGGAGACTTACCACCATCTATCTTGACAGACCAGCTGGCCAGAAGATTTCCTTCATGGTGCCTCAAGACCAGTGGGTGCAATTAGAGGAAGTTCCTGGACTACCAGACCACTCCTGCCATGGACCTCCCCAGTTTCTCAGAGAATACTGATGTATTCTGGGGCAATTAGATTTGAGGAACAAAATCACCGACACCCCCAGGTTTGAGGAACAAAATCACTGACACCCCCAGGTTTGAGGAACAAAATCACCGACACCCCCAGGTTTCTACTGATGTCAAGGATAGTGAGGGCACTGATGACAATTCCTAATTCTAATGCTGAGTGTAAGAGGATTTTTTCAATGCTAAAAAAGATCCAAACAGACACTAGATCTAACCTTGACAATTCCACACTATGTGCACTACTGACTGTGAAAGTTAATAATACTCAGGAATGCCATACCCTCAGACTTTCAAAGGACCTCCTCAAAACAGCAAAGAAGGCCTGTGTTGGTTATAACAAGAACTGTCCATTCTCATCTTAATTACTTTAATGAAAAAAATGTGTCTGTGATGTATCATGTATGTCTTAAGTAGATTCACAAAAATGTCCAATTTACCAACAGTAGCTAAATTCATATAACTTGCTTTAGGTTATTTGTAAATAACATTTAATTTTGTCATTTTTTTCATTCATGTAATAAAATGTATATGTACATCTTATTGCTTAGGGCAAGGATGGGTTATGTTGATTTCTGTATTAAATAATTGTTGATTTAAAAATGATTTTTTTAAAATTTCAAATTGTGTTTCTGTTGAAATTGATAGAGAAGAAAACACTTTAAGAGGTAAAGATAATATGTGCAACAATGAATTAGATTGGTATTTTAAAAAAAGACAAATATTAAGTTTCACGACAAAATGCGTCGAATTTAGAACTTTGAAAAATGTCGTGACGCGCAATCTCCCCCAAGGAATTTTTCAAAAGTTAGCATATATGTAAATTATACACCAGTGTTCATTATGAAGGGCAGAGAAAATTCTGGTAGGTCACACACGCTTATAGTGTATCTATATATTTGTTAGTCTGAAGACTGAAGTATCTTAAAACTTATCATTTAAAAAAATATTTTAGCAGTTTAGAGTCAAAAAGTTATATTTTGGTGAATTTATTGCTAATTTTCAATATTACAAAAATACATGATTAGTAACAATAGACATGTTTTGACTCGCAGTGCCAACGCAATTATCTGTAGAACTATTAATTGAAAGCATGAATTAATTGATATTTAAAATTTTATTTGTAATTACCTTGAAGTGTGAAAAAAACCCGACTTGTCTCTTTTCATTCATGTGTCCAGCGAGGACTAGAAGATAATTGATTGTGCAAGTGAAACAATGGAACCTAATCAGAGTAATTTAACAGTTAACCCGTAGAAACTGAAAGATTGTACATAACTTTGAGGTTCATTTGATTTATATATGTTAATGTTACTGACCACGACGACCTTACTGTGGTGCTAACATTTTAACTGTGGCGAAACTATGGCGCTGATTTTTTTTAAAATGTGGCTCTAAAGAATTTACTGAGGAGGGGCCGCCACATTAAAAGCCTATGGAGAACCCTGCACATTTAATATTAAATCCCTAGCACCAACTGTTCAAAAGTTTTGTATAGGGTTAAAAAAATTAGATTTTCCTGACAGACTGCCCAAGAATCCCCGATAATTGGGTAATAAGAGCAAGTAATATTGGATATATAGAATGTTTTAATTTAAGGAATAACTGTCTAATTTTTTGTATTCATGATGTGATCAATCGAGTGGCTTGCGTGATAATTTGCATAAACGCCGAAGGCGTTTATGCATAAAATTATCACGCAAGCCAATCGATTGATCATCGTTATGAATCCAAAAAATCTGACAGTTATTCCTTATGTTTACATGCTTCTGATTCTGCAAATTCCCGTGCTAATAGCCCCGCGTCTGTCTCTATTTGTCCCGCCCCGCACGTGATTTTTTTTTAACCGCGCCTATCGATGAACCAGTAGATTTATGTAGAAATAAAGTATTTTTACAATTTGTAATTTTATCTCGGACAAAGACATTGGAAACGTAAATATTTGCATGTAAATCTCGTGTCATTAAGGTTTATATTAACCAAATTTGAACTAAATGTAGGATTTCATCAGCTCATATGATTACTTCAAGCAAAATGTCACTTTTTCAGTGTGGTCATCGTCGCAAACCACGGTCAAAATGTACGATCCTCCCATTCTGGAGAGCTTTATGCGAACCGTGGCTTGAGACGATGCAGTGTAGTTAAATATAGTTATTTTTCAAATCTCTATAAAGTAAGTTGTTTCTATTTAAACTGAAAATTAAATATGTTATTCTGAAGAAAGAAATAGGCTCGAATATTTAACAGAGGGTGTTTAGATAGTTCTAATTTGTAAACATCAACGTTCAGTAATAGCAACAATTATAAGCTAATTCAACTCTAGAAGTACCTTCCTAAAACCATGAACATGCTATAAAAGTAGTGACATCCTCTAAAACCTCCTCCGTATTTATAACTACATGTAGTAAACACTTTTAAGCTATGCTGGTTTTTATTTAATTATGCAAAATTACATTAAGTAACAGCAATAATTCAGATTGAATGCAAATGGTATGGATGATATTTTGTTCAAAATGGAATGTTTTAAATGAGGCCTTAATATATAAAACAGTTTGCCAGTAAGGTTTTCATGGCTGTATCATCTTTACCTGTAAGTGTTGTATTTTGGACTGTTTGTTTGGTTGTTGTTGAAGCTTGTGCTGTTGTTGTGGTGACCGTTGTGGTTGGCTTGACAGTTGATCTATTGTTAGTATACGGTGGATGACTTTGAGCAGTAGTATGATGACTGAGGTGTGGTACGCGACGCACTCCCGCTGAAGCTAAGGTAGTTTAAACCCATAAAAAGAGCGACATATTTGCAAAATTTAATTATCAATGTTAATTGCCATCTGATTTCAATTTAAGAAATTCTTATTGTATGCGTGGACTTACTTTCCATTACGAAGACGAGATACTTCTTGCAAAGTCCATCACAGTAGCCGACACGCTCTTTCATTCTTCTCACTGTGTTCGATTAATGAATAGTTAAGAATTTATGGAAGGTAGTTTTTTTTCTAATGAAAGTATTTTAATTTTGCAGACTGATTTAGTAAAGAAATAATGAAGACTTTACTATTTGGGATCCACCACATTCCACCGTCAAAAGCTTCCAGTGAGTCAGAAATAAAACCTATTGCATGAAACAAAAATGCATTTTGCAAGAATTTCTTCCTTATATCAACATAATATTATACTTTGATAATGATCAATGGTCAATATGAATCAATGCATGTGTTGCTAGTAACGAATTCTGCAATTATTATGATAAGGTCATGAGTGTAAGGTCACTTGTTTACCATAAGGCATTCTGTTCTGAATACAAATATTTACTATAAATTCATCTGTAAACTAGCATCATCATCTGATCCAGACAGTCAAAATAAATAAGTACATCCTCATGACATAGTAGTGGTGGTAGAGAGTGAAAACTGATATCACGATTTTTTCCGTCTTACCGTCCGTCTTGCCCATGGGCAAGGTTAAGCTGATCCTTTCGGGCAATTTTTGGCTTATCTCAATGAGTATCGAAGCTTAACTTCCACATGTATTTTACTTAAGGACTACTTTATGCAAGCTTGGATTTGCCAACTCTAGTTTGAACAAACTTAAGGACCCTCTCTCCATTAGAGGATAAGATTTTTTGGACATTGAGAAAATTATAGTGTGTAAAGATGTAAATATTGAATAATTTACATTTTTCACCATGGGTACCTTGCATTTACCCCCAGGAAAAATGTTTAATGACAATGACGTACTGATGAACAGAAATCACTGTTGTTTATTTAAGTGGGCAAAATACCTGAAAATGAAGGTTTCAATCCATTCATTTTGGTCTATTCAAATGTTATGAATGCTTGATTTGATCGCAAATGAAGTCATAATCTGCACATTTCAATTAATTTTATTCCTGATCAAAGGACAGATTACTCTATCTAAAATAAATGAAAATCAGAACTCTTTAGTGTGCAGTGTATAGAGTAGTGACGGGACATCGGTTAATTTTCATAATCGATCATCGGTTGGAATCGGTTACTGCTTCCGATGCGATTTTACCGATTACAATCGGATTTCATATTTTTGTATACAAAAAGCAGACTATTTCAATTATTTCATATTATTTCTTTAACGTGAATATATAAAATATATATTATTTTCTTTGTTGTTTTGCTTCTTTTACACTTTCTAGGCCTAAAAAAAATATGTTTGTTTTCTGTAACATTCCCAAAAAATCAAGGGTCGGTAGGTCGGGAATTTTTTTTTTGCTTATGAATAATGGGGTCAAACATCCTGGGACTGAATTATCCTGTGTTATATTTACATTGGACACCCAACACGGCTGCCTAGCGGCAGAAAACGAACTTCAAAAAGTTGTGGGGGGGAATTGATTATTCTTTATATTTAAGGTAAATGTTGACTAAGTTGCATATTTTATATCTCAAATAAAAGATACAATTAATATTTTTTGAATAAAAAGAATCAGCTGATTGTTCAAACCAAAGAGCAAACACAGATTTGGCAGAAAAAAAATCCACCCGGGGTAAATTGGATGCGTCGGTTGGGTTACAGGAAACAAACGTTAAGAAAAAGAAATGTGTCGTTGAATTTCTTTTATATAACAAATAAGGCGCGATTTTGTATATTAGAACAAGATGTCAAAGTTTCAAAGTCTGGCCTTATGTTTTGTACCAAAGTTACTAGTACCTAAAAATAAATTTATTTATTTAGACCAAATAGAATACGAAAATTCTAAAGCGGCTCTTAGAATGTTTCCTCAGAATGAGAATTTAAAAAAAATGAATACATCACAGGAGACTGAAGTGTGGATCGATAGTCCCCCCCCCCCCTTTTTAATGAAAAAAAAATAGAACTTATAATTTCTCAATAATGTAAAATTTCCCCATCAATCACACCCATATGTCGTTCTCTGCAAGCAGTTTGTACTTTTTCTTACGTTTAGAGAATGGCCATGTACGCTGTAATAAAAATACACAAGGTAAGAGACAAAATTTGTAATCGGACGATTTAAAACCTCCTTCAAAGCTGTCAATGAAGAAAATTTTATGTGTCCGATTAATAAATCGTCCGATTACGTCATATAAAACACTAATGATGGGGTTAAGGTTAAAGAGACGAGTAGGAGAACATTTCCCTGACAGAGTGCTTGCAAAATTATGATAGGTAACACTGTTATTACTTTGGAAATATCTCTTGAAGCAGGGAACCCCCGTCTGTTTACAAATTTTGTTTCTTGTGTATTTTTATTATACCGTACATGGCCATTCTCTAAACGTACGAAAAAGTACAAACTGCTTGCGTAGAACGACATATGGATGTTACTGATGGAGAAATTTTAAGCTTTTACATTTTTTTTTATTAAAGGGGGGGGGGGGCTACCGATCCACACTTAAGGCGCCTGTGGAATACATTACATTCATAACTTTTTCGTATATTTCAAGATTTTATATTTACCTTGAATACAGCATGGCTTACTCGGAGCATTGATGTGTGCCACAATATACTCATAAAGTGTTTGTAAAGCTTTGAAAAAAAAATCATAAGATTTTAATATACTGACGTTCATATTAAAAATATACTGCTATGGCTATAATGGACTGCTAGGGATATTATTGGACTGAAGAAGGGACCTATAAGAATTATACACACCATTGTCATGGTGGGCTGTATGCCACATGGTTATTAATGAACTCATATCTAAATGGGAAAAAATGATTAATAGGTTAGTGTATTTATATTTATTGAAGAAATAAATGGTTTTGGTACTTTTTACTCGTTCAATCTGATTAAGATCATACATACGTAAACACTCTGCGTAAGCATGTGCGCCTGAAACCATATTCAGCAGATCTAAAGGTATGAAAAATATAAATAGGAAAATAGTACCGCCATTTGAAAAAAAAAACAACCCATCTTTTTACAGAATGATTTGTTGGAATCATTTTTTCACTTGTAGAATTGTAACTGTACAAACCTTGAACAACATTTCCTCTCGACATGTTTATTGCTACTCCTGAAAAAGACGATGTATGAACATAGGTTAAAGCTCAAAAACTAAACATGCACATGTATATGGCGCAAGAGAACTGTCTGCTGTAGAATTCAGAGTTCAACATTTATTGTATTATTAAGTGACTGTTTAATACCATGCATTTATATTCAAGACTATCACCGGAATCGGGACCGTAGGAAGAAGCAATTGGTTTCGGGGAGGAAAGGGGGATTGAGCGTATTCCAAACTGTAAATCCTTGACAATAAAAACCCACAAAAAATTAGCTCAGTGCTTATTAAAAATGGTGAAAAGTAAGCCATTTAAAAGTCTAAGGGCAATGCCTTTTAAATTTAGTGAAATTGGGTCAATTGGCATGAAACTTAGCTTGATCTGTATAATTATCATGATCACTGTAAATTACATGCCAAAAATCAACTCAATATCTGCAAACGCAATAAAAAAGGTCTTGAAAATAGTGACAAATTCGAAATTTATAAAGACTAAGGCCAAAATCTTTTGTAAAAAATAATATATCAACCAACATGAAACTCGAACTTGATATGAATGCCAAGTCGCTTTTCTAACTTCTCCAGTAGAAAGTTTATGTGTTGAAGTAAATGAACCACTTCTGCATGGACCTATATATATGTAAGAAGAATTAGACTCGTCTAACAAACCATTCTTAAATTTAAAAACAAACAAATACTTATGTCTGATAGCTCTGCTTTTGTGTTTTTCACCCACAGTATGAAAATTTAAATGCTTAATATAAAACAAAATGTATAAAACCTAGTGATTTAATAATATCTAGTCTACAAAACAGAGGGATTCCGGCGTGCAAGTATAGTTATCTTTATTATAAAACAAACGACTTACTCTGAAATACCGCTATGGAAATTAATTAAACCAGTTGTAAAGACATTTTTAACTGGATTTTGAAAATCAGAAACAAATAACCTTGTCAAAAAGAAATTGACCGAAATAAAACATTCTTTCACAATACAGATGGTTCACAATACAAAAAATAGAGTTGCAACGGCAGCCTTGGTTCAAAATGTTGTGTTCTCTACATGGCTGAATCGACAAATTTTAATGCAAAAAAAGGCTATTTATAAATAAATACACTTGCAACCTTTTCACAATATTTTCGGACTTGCTCTCTTGCTGACAATCCAAAAGCAGTATGAACATCGACCACTCATATATTTTGGATAATTCAACTCTATCAATTTGTTTCGAAAATAAAAAGACTTCTGCTGGATTCCAAGTACAGTCATGTATCCCTAGCAATACGAAAGCTTATAGTGCTGTAAAAACACTTCAGTATTGCACACTTCAAAGTTCTTGATACTGATTTTAAAAAAATTACATAAATTTTCAACAGTTGGGGGGGGGGGGGGGTATTAATGATATAAACTTTGTGCTGTAAAACACAACAAATCATCCGATTTCCGCCTGAAACGTTAGGACGGAGTGAACATTTCAAGAATACATACTGGTCATTCAAAAACATTTATTGGGGGAACTTCAGTCCTGAATGCATATCTTATAACTATCCCTTACTTCTAGGACATATCATATTCTTTTAGAATTTAATGAGTCTACTAGTATTCGTTTGTTTACTGTTTAACGTCCCTCTCGAGAATTTTTCACTCGTATGGAGACGCCACCACTTGCCGGTGGAGAGCTGCAAATTTTGACTTATGCTCGGCACTCAGGGCCATTGAGCAGTGAGGGATCCTTTTCGTGCCAGCACCTACTGCGAACTGGACCTCGGTTTATACGGTCTCACCCGAAGGACCGGTCTCCACGTCCCACAGTGGGATTCGAACCCGCGACGTAAGGATCAACTCTTTACTCTAGAGCAGACGCTCTACCACTGCGCCACGCGGGCGACTACTAGTATTCGAAGTAGACATTTAATTATTTGATAACGATGCATAAATTATTTACAAACATTAGTGTATATACACTCTTTACTTAAAAGTATTGATGATGGTATTTTGCCTTTTTCGCAAAGAAATGCTGTGATATCCCTGATATATAAAAAGGAGAGAAAGAAAATCTTAAGATCTATAGACCAATTAGTCTTACAAACGTTGATTACAAAATTTTTGCTTATATTAAAGGTAGATACATCGGGGAGAACGCGAGAATAATATTAGACATATTTGAATATTGTAACAATAATGATATTGATGGTATTTTGCTCATTCTCGATTTTGAGAAAGCTTTCGATTCTATTGAATATAACTTCATGTACAGAACTCTAGAAAAATTTAATTTTGGTGAAAATTTTATCAAAATGATAAAAACATTATATTTTAAATCAACTTTTAAAATTAAAAATAATGGCGGGATGTCAAAATCATGTGTAATGCAAAGAGGGATTAGACAAGGCTGCCCTGTGTCAGCACTTTTATTTATTTTCGTGCTAGAAATACTAGCAGTTCAGCTTAAAAATAATGAAGAAATCATCGGTTTATCGCCAGGTGATAATGAAATTTAAAAAATCGTACAACATGCTGATGGTTGCACTAATTTATTGAAAGACACTTATACATTGAAAAAAGCTTTAGAAACAATACGTGAATTTAGCAAGGTCGCAGGCCCGAATTGAATATGGACAAAACAGAATGTTTATTGAAATGTAATGAAATGAACAAGAGGCCCAAGGGCCTTAACGGTCACCTGAGTACAACAATTTTAAGGATTCATAAACTGACAAATGAAGCTTTGTTGCAAAAAAGCAAGAAAAATAGTACGATTAAGATCAACAAAATAATTGTTCTAGTATCTATCTATCTGTCCTCATTTATCACTATTACCATGCAGACTTTTAATAAAACGTCTATTACCTCTCACATTGACCCCCCCCCCCCCGTGGGGACCCGGGGTGACAAGAATAGGTCCCTGGCACCCCCTTGCATGTCGTAAAAGGCGACTAAATGGGGCAACCTGTTGGCCGTGGGTTGCAACCCGTGTTGGTGGAGAAGAGGATCCTGGTGGCTGAGGTCTGCGGGTGCTGGGTGCAACGCACCTGACATGACCAACACTCCACTTTGGCCCCATATTCATCTAGACGGGAGGTCAAGTTTGGCCCGACTTGATCAATCGGCTGGTCACGCCGAGCTGATAATATCTGCATGCCATAGTATTGATGTTTTGCATTTTTTGTAATATTATCTGATTCATTTTGCAATTTCCAATACGCCGACGTTTCCATGTTGATATATTTATATTAAGCGGTGGCTCAGGGTCAATCAGGCATATCATGTCTGAGTATAGTCTCTTTGTATCCTCTTGGTGTCTATCTTACTGGATATCCGTTTGACTAGATATCGCCCTTGTTGGCGCTCCGAGGTGGGCGGGGAGCAAGGATTCTGAAACGTTCTTCATCTAACCATGGATACTTCAAAATCAAAAAAACGTTGTTACCCAACAGGTCTAGAAATTTCTTTCAACGATGAACAACTTAACTCCGTTGTGGAACACTGGCCTCGCTTCATCACACTTGAAGCAAAACTATCAGATCAAAATTCAAAGCCTCTTACAAAAGTATCGCCTTTTATTATACAAAAAGGTATTCAAGGAGTTATTGGTACGCCTAAATCTGTAAAAAAGTTGAAGTCTGGTGCTCTTCTTATTGACGTCACCAAGAAACAACATTCAACTTCTTTGTTGGCTTTAAAAATGTTGGCAGATATCCCTGTACTTGGAAAGGTTCATAGCGGACTCAACCAGAGCAAAGGTATTTTGTTTGACAGGGATCACGACCTGGATGGTATTCCTGAACAGGAAATCCAATCTGAATTGGAATCCCAGGGAGTGATCTCTGTAAGAAGATTCACAAAAAAGCGTAATGATGTTGTTGAACCAACAGACACTTACCTTTTGACCTTTTGTATGCCAACTCTCCCTACCAACATCAAAGTTGGGCTGTACCTAATGAAAATTGAAACGTTTATGCCCAATCCTTTGCGATGCTTTAAGTGTCAGCGATTTGGGCATGGGCAAATGAATTGTAAAGGATCTGAAACATGCTTCAGGTGTGGTGAGGAGGGGCATGACGGCAAAACTTGTCAGAATGACCCGAAGTGTAAAAACTGCAAGGGGGAGCACATGTCGTCTTCAAAACAATGTCCGATATGGAAAAAGGAAAAAGAAATACAAAAAGTTAAAACAGAGAAAAGAATACCATATCCGGAAGCTAAAAAATTAGTGAACATGTACAGCGTTCCAAAACCAAATATGACGTATGCAACTGTTGTTAAATCATCCTCTTTGAAGGAAGTGTCTACTCAGGTCTCTGAGAGAGATTTTCTACAGCAGACCTCATCATCTGAAGCACCTTTGTCTTCTCATGACAGAGGTAAATCTACTTCATCACCTGCTTCTGCAGGCCATGCAGCTGTGGCTGCACCAAAAACTGCAGCTGCGGCTGCATCAAAGCCTGAATCTGCAGGAACATCTAGATCATCCGGGAGACAAAACAGATCTCCCCCAAAAAACAATCAGAAGCAGTCGA